GACGCAGCAGAAGAAGACGTACCTGAAGCCTCGGAAGCTGCCGGACCACTCCCTTACTTCTCCGTGCCCGTTCCACTCGACGACGACAATCCTCTCGATAGTAACAACCTCGACACTTATTACCACTTTGCTGACCAATGTTACGCCACACCTCAACCGATCGACACCAATATCTCCGAACGCATCGGACCTAATTTCTCACCTGACCCAGAGGACGGAGACGAAGCAGCTTATCCCGAGAATGACAATTCCCCTCGACACACACCCACCGGCCTGCAGATACTTGGTCTATGGGTCGCCGTTCAGAGCCCGCCGCCCCCATCACTGCGCGAGCCAACGACTCTGTCGCAGGCTCTGGGGGGGGAACACAAGGCGAAATGGAAGGAAGCAATGGAAAAGGAACTGAAGGCCCTGCAAGACCGACATACGTGGAAGCTGGTACCTACAACAAAAACCAACGGGAAGAATGTGCTCTCAGGGAAATGGGTGTACCGCATCAAGACTAATGCGGATGGCTCCATCGACCGCTTCAAAGCTCGCTGGGTCGTACGAGGATTCGACCAGCGATACGGAACCGACTATACAGAGGCATTCGCCCCAGTCTCCCGACATACCTCCCTGCGCATCCTACTCGCCGTCGCGGCCACGAAAAAAACTACCACTTCGCCAGATCGATGTCGCCAACGCCTTCCTGTACGCACCCGTGGACGCCGAAATCTTCGTCGAGCAGCCCCACGGATTCATCGATGATCTCACAAAAGTGTGCATGCTGGTAAAATCCCTCTACGGAATCAAACAAGCCCCGCGGCTCTGGCAGCAGCACCTTCATGGCCGCCTCGTCAGGATCGGCTTCCTACAGCTATCGCACGATCAAGGAATGTACCGACTACAGAAGGAGGGGGATTTCGTCATACTCATCGTCTACGTCGATGACCTGCTCTACGTCGGCTCCACTACCGACGTCATCACATGGTTCGAAGGGAAGCTAAGGAGTGACTTAACACTCACGGTGTCAGACACCGTGAGCCAGTACCTAGGTCTGAACGTCGTCGAAGATGAATCGGCGTTCTACCTACACGCCGGAAAGTACGCAGGCAATGTCGCGAAAAAGTTCGGACTAACGCCAGTCGCAGTCGCGACTCCCTATCGCTACGGGAACAACAGCGACACCTCCGCAACACTTCCCGCGAAGCAAATCCAGGAATATCAACAGAAGCTCGGCTGTCTACTGTTCGCAGCAGTAACCTGCCGACCGGACCTGTCCTACAGCGCAAGCCAACTGGCGACACACCTGAAGCAGCCGGAGCAAGAGGATCTCGATGAGCTGAATCGGGCACTACTCTACTTCGTCTCTACGCCGACGACCGGACTTACCTACAGCAAAGGGACGCCATCGTCCGTACAACTACTCGGCTATGTCGACGCCGACCACGCGGGAGATAGGGAGAATCGTCGCTCCAGAACGGGCTACATCTACCGACTAGAGCCTATCGGTACTATCTCCTGGCAATCGAGTAAGCAGGAACTAATCGCGCTATCCTCGGCTGAAGCGGAATACATCGCCCTCTGCTCTGCAACCAAAGAAGGACTTAATCTGCGGGAGCTGCTCGAGGAAGCGAAAATTGCGACCATGCCCGCCTTCTCGTTATTCTGCGACAACCAATCCGCGATCAAAATCGCGAACAAAAACGGGTTCGCCAATCGAACTAAGCACATCGCTCTGCGGTATTTCTTCGTCAAGGATGTGTTAAAGTGAGAACGAATAATGACTAGAAGTGGAAACCTAGAACAAATACTAGTTGGTTGTACTCACTAGAAGCGTACCTCAGTCTAGCCTATAACTTCTACATAGATAATATGTATAAGTTGACACACCCCCTAGGCTAGACAAGGGGTGAAACTAAACAAGAAGCAAACAGCTCAGGGCGGCACTACTAGTCCAACCACTGAGGCAGGGGTCTGGCGACCAGTCAGCAAGAATACAAACAAAACTGAAGCAAGCCAGGATGGCACTACTACTCCAGCCACTGGAGGTAAGGCCACAAGGCCAGTCTGACAAGCATATATAATAGAGAGTACACAATCAGGATCCTAACAGGGGAGCAGCTACAGGAACAAGACCAAGCTGTACACAGTGCCGCTGATGATCTTTAGGCGCAAGCGCCTTAGTAAAGATATCAGCTGTGTTGGCACCTGAGGCCAAGTGAACTACACGGGCCTGGCGGCGCTGCTGTAGCTCGCGCAGGAGGAAGTACCGCAGCTGGATATGCTTCGCTCTGCCCTCAAGCCGAGGCTCCTGACACAGGAGTATCATGGCCCTGTTGTCAGCGTACAGGACCGGGGCAGAGCTAGGCCGCTCACCTAAGTCTGTGAGCAAGAAGGTCAGCCAGCGGAGCTCCTGTGCCGCCATGGCACCAGCGTAGATCTCAGCCTCACAGCTAGACTGAGCCACAGACGACGAGCGGGTGGATCTCCAAGAGATAGCACCCGAACCAAGGCTGAAACAGTAGCCCTGCGACGACCTGAGCGTCTCAGCGTCGTCTGCCCAAGAAGCGTCTGTGTGTCCAGTAAGGACCACTGGCCTGCGTCCTCCTAGCACTAAACCCATGCCTGATGTACTAGCAAGATAACGCAAAACCCTCTTAGCGGCAGACCAGTGCTGAGGTCGGTGTCTGCGTGTAGCCACAAAGCGAGCCAGGATGCTGAGAGGGTATGCGAGATCTGGGCGAGTGCAAGTCATCAGGTACATGAGGCAACCCACCAGCTCTGCGTAGGGGCCACTGGGCTCTACTTGCTCCTCAGGAACGGGAGCAGAGAGCCCATGGTCTACGGGTAGAGGTGTGGGCTGTGCGGAGGAGAACTGAAGACCGAACCTCTGAAGGACCTGACGCACCAAGTGTGACTGGGTCAGAGTGATGGTGCGTGCTGCTCTGTCCCTAGAGATCTGCAGGCCAAGATAGCGACGCAGCTCTCCAAGGTCAGTGTAGGTGTGTCTCTTCAGCAGCTCAGCCTTCACAGAGGCCAGTGCGTCCCTGTCAGGAGTAGCGAAGACCAGGTCGTCTACGTAGACAAGGATGTAGAACGGAGTCTGGCCGGAACGCACAAACAGTGAAGGGTCAGCAGAGGACGGAAAGAACTGCAGGTCTGCTAACGTGGCACGTAGCGTGTCGTGCCACTCGCGGGGAGCCTGACGCAGGCCGTAGACCGGGCGCCTGAGAAGCCACTGGGTTCCAGGAGGGAAGGTACCAGTGAAGCCCTGTGGTCGGCGCAGGTAGACCTGCTCGTGTAGGCTGCCCTGAAGAAAGACAGTAGAGAAGTCGAGGGAGTGAAGCTCATAGTCACGCTGTGCTGCTACATGTAGCAGCGCCCGAAGAGTGGTCATCTTCGGGGTCGGGGCGAAGGTCTGGAAGAAGTCAACCCCCTCGCGCTGACTGAAACCTCTGGCCACGTAGCGCGCCTTGAAGACAGGCGGCTCTCCAGGGGAGCGCTTCACCTTGAAGAGCCACCGACCATCGACTACGTTCACCCCAGGCGGGGGAACTGCGTCGACGTAAGTGCCGGTGGACCTCCAAGATGCCATCTCCTGCTCCATGGCAGCTATCCACTGAGAGGCCCAAGGTCCCGAGGTGGCCTCAGCGTAGGTGCGAGGGGTCGGGATGTCGAAGGCGTCTGGGTCACCCTCAGGGACTAACAGCATGGAGCAGAGATGGGGAGCAACCTCGGAAAGGAAAGCCAGCTCGTACTGCCTGTCCTCTAGGACGTCACTGCCAAGGGCAGGAGCACCCCCGACGGACGGAGGACGGGCGGGGTCAGAGACCAGAGCGGTAGCGTAGTCAAGGCGACGGGTAGAGGCGAAGTCAGCGACAGCAGCAACAAGCGCGTCAAGGCGCGAGACAGGAACAGCAGGGTCGGTAACAAGAGAGGCAAGGACCCGAGGGACAAGGGGACGAGCAGCACGGAGGTAGTCAGAGAACGGAGGAGGTGCAACAGCAAGCGACGAGGGAGGAGGCGACGGGAGGAGGGGAGGACGAGACGAGCGGGAACGGAGCAACATAGGGTGGGTGGGCAGGACAGGAGAGACGGGACGAGCACGGGAGGGACGGCGAGCCCAAACGTGAGACGTAGGCGCGACGGGGCTAGGGTGGCGCGACAGGGCTAGGGTGGCGCGACAGGGCCCAGGAGGGGCGCGACGGGGCTAGGAGGCGCGACGGGGCCCAGGAGGGGCGCGACATGGCTAGGAGGTGCGACGGGGCTAGGAGGCGCGACGTGGCCTAGCTAGGGTACGGGCGGAAGCGGTAGGTGGGGGATGCTAACCTACGCGTGATACCATGTTAAAGTGAGAACGAATAATTACTAGAAGTGAAAACCTAGAACAAATACTAGTTGGTTGTACTCACTAGAAGCATACCTCAGTCTAGCCTATAACTTCTACATAGATAATATGTATAAGTTGGCAGGATGAGATCACGAAGGGGAGACTTCAACTCAGTTACTGCCCCACGACAGAAATGGCTGCAGATTACCTGACGAAGAAACTGGCAAAGGCAAAGTTCGATTACTGCATTCTGCTGACCGGGCAGATAAACGTCACCGAGTCCGGACACGTCAGCACTCCAGAAACGAAGGGGGGTGTTGGAAATACCTCGAGGACTGAAGCGTTTCTGAAGTGTAACACTACACTCGAGGACAGTCTTATCGAGTACGCGAGTCAACGGAGGTTACACGAGGAGGTTGGACGAAAGAATACGAAAGGACGAAGAGACTTGAAAGGTCGCAACCGGAGGTTGCAACTGACCGTTGCTACTGCAAGGATGGTAACCGAACTGACGATCACTGTGCGACCTCGATAACCGTTCCTTCAACTGTACTCTACAACTGCTCTATTCCCTATTCTCTACATATTCCTGTATGCTTGCTTCTTTCAATCACTTGCTCTCACAGTACTAGTGCAAGGGTTAAACTACTGCACTACTCAAGCATCTTGTACAAGTGGGACTTTTCAGAAAAGATCCCAAGGGCTTTTCTCAGCCCAACAATCTGCTTGCTAAGATAGTTCTAATGTACATACAGGTCACACCCTTGCTACTAGGGTAATAATCAGTCCTCTAAAATGCAACGCACATTGCTCCCCCTAGTCCAGCTTGACCTACGTGAGGAGAAACCGCATCTGGGCGACCCTCCGGCGATTGTAAGTGGGAAGATCTGAGTCCACACCAACTCGCACACCCTTCTCATTACCAGCACCAAACCCCTTTCACCAAACCCCTTTCAGCACCACTGGTGAATCGAGGCATCGATCATCAACGTCACCAAGAACTGCTGATAGCCATTTATATGGCAAAAAAAGAGAACCAGAAAAACGTTTTCAATTTAGGGAATGTACACATCCATTTACGTAAGATGCGGATCCACAAGTACTATCATTTAAAGCCCCCACTGGTAGCCGTTGTTAGCGACGGCGAGAAGGGCGAAGCCGAAAGCGTGTCCAAGAGCGCCCCATGCAAGGGTGTCAGCAAGGGTGAAGCCAGCGGGGTCGTTGGTCTTGGTGAAAAGCTCGGCCTCCTCCGCACCGGAGCTACCGGCAGCGGCGTGGGACACACCGTTCTGCACGGGGAGACCCGCCCGCTTCAGGGAGTTCTTGTGGTAGTCGTTGAAGCCAAAGCGGCCGGCGGCCAGAAGCAGGGCTGTGGCACCGCAGATCACGGGCGCGGCGTCAATCGCGCAGGTGGTGCGAGCCTTGGACACAGCGAAGCTGGTCTTGGTCTTCAGGCTGGAGGCCTTCTGGGGAAGGGCCTTCAGGCCGGAGAACTGAGACACGGAGAGGGAGGCCTGGACGGCAGCCATGGCTTCAGGTGTGTGGATGCAGCGGTTCTGGGAGCAGCTGCAAAGTTTTGGGAGCTGATGTGTGCGTTCAGCTTACTCAGAGAGCTGAAGAGTTCACTTTGTGTGAGTCCTGAGATGGGAGGGGACGGAACCGGCCCGTGCGACAGCGTGGCACGCCTGGCGAAGGACTCAGTCAGTGCGATGATTTCCGGGCTTGTGGGTGGGTCAGCGCGAGATTTCTGGTTATCCTGAATCTGCCAATGAGGATCCTGAAGAACGGAATCGCGCGCAGGTTGGGGGAATGAGGGGCCACCAGCTGGATTCACCAGATCCATGGTTCGTCGCCTTACCGACGCACTCCTGTCGATTCGCAGATACCCACGAACTAGAAGTTACAATAGTTGAGTTTCGTACAAACATACACGAACATGGCTTGTAGAACATTAAATTGGCTTATATCTCCACCTTGAATGGATGATTTTGCATTCTCACCTTTGACGAGGGGTGAGGCAATGTCCAGTCGGGGGCTAGGCAGATCCATGCACTGGTGCCTATGCCATCACATCCCGTCAAAATGAAAGTACTAGAATGGCATATATGGTGCTCCTACGTTTTGAGAGCAAACTGTTTCTCCATGAAAGAATTTGAAAGGTGTGCAGGAGACTAAGTATAGAATCTGCAGACACAAGTACTTGAAGTAGAAAGTAACACTGGAAGTACCACTAGTAACTACCAATATTAACAAGTTGTAACTGTCAACTTATACATATTATCTATGTAGAAGTTATAGGCTAGACTGAGGTATGCTTCTAGTGAGTACAACCAACTAGTATTTGTTCTAGGTTTCCACCTCTAGTAATCATTCGTTTCTACGTTAACATGGTATCACGCTTAGGTTAGGATCCCCCCGCCTACCGCTTCCGCCCGTCGCGCCTCCTAGGCCCCGTCGCGCCCCCTAGGCCCCGTCGCGCCCCCCCTGGGCCCCGTCGCGCTCGTTAGGCCCCGTCGCGCCCCCCCTGGGCCCCGTCGTGCCCACTGGGTCCCGTCGCGACCCCTAGGCCCTAACGCGCCCCCGCTGGGCCCCGTTGCGCCTCCTAGGCCCCGTCGCGCCCCCCCATGGGCCCCGTCGAGCCCGCTGAGCCCCGTCGTGCCTCCTAGGCATCGTCGCGCCTCCTAAGCCCCGTCGCGTCCCCCCCCTCTGGGCCCCGTCGCGCCCGTTCGGCCCCGTCGCGCCCCTCCTAGGCCCCGTCGCGCCCGCTGGGCCCCTTCGCGCTTCCTAGGCCCCGTCGCGCCTGCTAGGCCCCGTCGCGCCCCCCCTGGGCCCCGTCGCGCCCGTTAGGCCCCGTCGCGGCCCCCCTGGGCCCCGTCGTGCCCGCTGGTCCCCGTCGCGACTCCTCGGCCCCGTCGCGCCCCCCCTGGGCCCCGTCGTGCCCGCTGGGCCCCGTCGCGCCCCTTAGGCCCCGTCGCGCCCGCTGGCCCCTGTCGCGCCTGCTGTTAGCTCACTGCCCGCACTGTCCCCTGTGTCTTCCTCGGTTTCCCCCTGGACTCGTCTGACTGGCTTTCCTGCCCACCCACCCTATGTTGCTCCGTTCCCACTCGTCTCGTCCTCCCCTCCTCCCGTCCCCTCCTCCCTCGTCCCTTGCTGTTGCACCTCCTCCGTTCTCTGACTACCTCCGTGCTGCTCGTCCCCTTGTCCCTCGGGTCCTTGCCTCTCTTGTTACCGACCCTGCTGTTCCTGTCTCGCGCCTTGACGCGCTTGTCGCTGCTGTCGCTGACTTCGCTTCTACCCGCCGCCTTGACTACGCTACCGCTCTGGTCTCTGACCCTGCCCGTCCTCTGTCCGTCGGGGGTGCTCCTGCCCTTGGCAGTGACGTCCTAGAGGACAGGCAGTACGAGCTGGCTTTCCTTTCCGAGGCTGCTCCCCATCTCTGCTCCATGCTGTTAGTCCCTGAGGGTGACCCAGACGCCTTCGACATCCCGACCCCTCGCACCTACGCTGAGGCCACCTCGGGACCTTGGGCCTCTCAGTGGATAGCTGCCATGGAGCAGGAGATGGCATCTTGGAGATCCACCGGCACTTACGTCGACGCAGTTCCCCCGCCTGGGGTGAACGTAGTCGATGGTCGGTGGCTCTTCAAGGTGAAGCGCCCCCCTGGAGAGCCGCCTGTCTTCAAGGCGCGCTACGTGGCCAGAGGTTTCAGTCAGCGCGAGGGAGTTGACTTCTTCCAGACCTTCGCCCCGACCCCGAAGATGACCACTCTTCGGGCGCTGCTACACGTAGCAGCACAGCGTGACTACGAGCTTCACTCTCTCGACTTCTCTACTGCCTTTCTTCAGGGCAGCCTACACGAGCAGGTCTACCTGCGCCGACCACAGGGCTTCACTGGTACCTTCCCTCCTGGGACCCAGTGGCTTCTCAGGCGCCCGGTCTACGGCCTGCGTCAGGCTCCCCGCGAGTGGCACGACACGCTACGTGCCACGTTAGCAGACCTGCAGTTCTTTCCGTCCTCTGCTGACCCTTCACTGTTTGTGCGTTCCGGCCAGACTCCGTTCTACATCCTTGTCTACGTAGACGACCTGGTCTTCGCTACTCCTGACAGGGACGCACTGGCCTCTGTGAAGGCTGAGCTGCTGAAGAGACACACCTACACTGACCTTGGAGAGCTGCGTCGCTATCTTGGCCTGCAGATCTCTAGGGACAGAGCAGCACGCACCATCACTCTGACCCAGTCACACTTGGTGCGTCAGGTCCTTCAGAGGTTCGGTCTTCAGTTCTCCTCCGCACAGCCCACACCTCTACCCGTAGACCATGGGCTCTCTGCTCCCGTTCCTGAGGAGCCAGTAGAGCCCAGTGGCCCCTACGCAGAGCTGGTGGGTTGCCTCATGTACCTGATGACTTGCACTCGCCCAGATCTCGCATACCCTCTCAGCATCCTGGCTCGCTTTGTGGCTACACGCAGACACCGACCTCAGCACTGGTCTGCCGCTAAGAGGGTTTTGCGTTATCTTGCTAGTACATCAGGCATGGGGTTAGTGCTAGGAGGACGCAGGCCAGTGGTCCTTACTGGGCACACAGACGCTTCTTGGGCAGACGACGCTGAGACGCTCAGGTCGTCGCAGGGCTACTGTTTTAGCCTTGGTTCGGGTGCTATCTCTTGGAGATCCACTCGCTCGTCGTCTGTGGCTCAGTCTAGCTGTGAGGCTGAGATCTACGCTGGTGCCATGGCGGCACAGGAGCTCCGCTGGCTGACCTTCTTGCTCACAGACTTAGGTGAGCGGCCTAGCTCTGCCCCGGTCCTGTACGCTGACAACAGGGCCATGATACTCCTGTGTCAGGAGCCTCGGCTTGAGGGCAGAGCGAAGCATATCCAGCTGCGGTACTTCCTCCTGCGCGAGCTACAGCAGCGCCGCCAGGCCCGCGTAGTTCACTTGGCCTCAGGTGCCAACACAGCTGATATCTTTACTAAGGCGCTTGCGCCTAAAGATCATCAGCGGCACTGTGTACAGCTTGGTCTTGTTCCTATAGCTGCTCCCCTGTTAGGATCCTGATTGTGTACTCTCTATTATATATGCTTGTCAGACTGGCCTTGTGGCCTTACCTCCAGTGGCTGGACTAGTAGTGCCACCCTGGCTTGCTTCAGTTTTGGTTGTATTCTTGCTGACTGGTCTCCAGACCCCTGCCTCAGTGGTTGGACTAGTAGTGCCGCCCTGAGCTGTTTGCTTCTTGTTTAGTTTCACCCCTTGTCTAGCCTAGGGGGTGTGTCAACTTATACATATTATCTATGTAGAAGTTATAGGCTAGACTGAGGTATGCTTCTAGTGAGTACAACCAACTAGTATTTGTTCTAGGTTTCCACCTCTAGTAATCATTCGTTTCTACGTTAACAGTAACACCAGAGTCAATGTTACATGTCAAATTATATACGTTAGTACATAATTGTAGGCTTGGTAGACGTTACTGAATATTACTGTAGAGGGTACAACACCCCTCCTTATACCTCTCTCCCTTTCTAATCCAACCCTCTATTCTATCGTCAATCTCTCCCTCCTAGTTCTCCTAGCTCCTAAAACCTCACGCCACTTTCATGGCGTCCTAGTTTCTAGTTCTGACATTATAGCCTTGCGATACTTCAACACTTAACCATACTAGTACTAGTTTCTAGTTAGCAAGGATCTTTGCTGGAATGGTATACTAGTAAGACAGCGGAAGTCTTAGAACTTGTAAAGTGTTGCACTTGATGCGCAATTCTGATGCGCAATACTTGATGCGCAATTCTGATTGCACTTTGATTGTCGCACTGCAGGGTGAACTATGTACTTGTCGTCAATTTCGCCCTTCCAGTAGCTCTTGCAGATAGAGACCTTCGCGAGTAGCTGTGCCGGCAGCTATAAACTCGGCTTCAGCGGATGAAAGAGCTACAAGCTCTTGCTTGGTAGAATTCCACGAGATAGTTCCAATAGGCTCGAGGCGATAGATGAATCCGGTTTGCGATCGACGATTAGTAGTATCTGCTGCATGATCAGCATCGACGTACCCGTTAAGATATAACGTTTTAGTAGTAGTAGCTTGGTAGGTAAGTCCGACTTCAGATGTCGAAATGAAATATTGCAAAGCGTGAAGAAGATCTAGCCGATTCTTCCCCTCAGGTCGACACAGAAATTGCGCGAGCTGGCTAGCAGCGTAGGCGAGATCTGGACGACACGTAACAGCTGCGAATAGAAGACAACTCAGTTGTTGCTGAGAAACTTGTCGTTTCGCGTTATCCAGTTGATGATTGGTCGGTAGAGATCGGTAAGGGGTAGTGACAGTTAAAGCCATGAGATTAAAGCGTGCGGCTAGCGTATCTGCATACTTGGAAGCTGTTAGATGAACAGCAGTTTCAGTTCGGTAGATATTCAGTCAGAGAAATTGTGTGACTGTAGAAGCGATAGTAATCTGTAAGTTCTGTTGAAGTTTCTGTTCGAAGACAGTAGCGAGAGAATCCGTGGTGCTCATATATAGCAAGTCGTCTACATAGGCGACGACTAAAATGTAGTCGGTACCGTCGGTAAGTAGGTACATCCCCAAGTCGTGTGGAAGTTGTCGAAATCCGGCATTTCACAGCTGACGGTATAGATTCTGCTGCCAGAGTTGTGGTGCCTGTTTGACGCCGTAGAGAGATTTTCTGAGAGGGCACACGCTGGGAGGATTAGTCTCGTTCGTAATCGAGTTCAACATCGCGAACGTCTTCAGGGTCGGCATAAACGAGTGCAATAAACTCCGCAGTTCCAGCTGACGTGGTTGGCACGGGACATCTGTTGCAGCTTCGGAGGATTCATCGACAGATTCGTCCTGTACATTTGCTTCGGCGTCATCGTTGGCAAAAGCACGCGAGCCCTAGATCTGCCTGGCAAGATTGGCAGCTGCTGCCTGGTGAGCACGAAAAACAGGTAAGGTTAGACGTTCGTAGAAAAGACAATCA